AGACCGTTCGCCCTTATATGCTCGAGTGTCCAATAACGCGTACTTCCCACACCCTCGATACCCGCCCTCTTCGTTTTCGATCGAACCCGTTTTGGGGGGTATACCTTTCTTCCCTGCAAGACGGGCCCTGGCAAGTGGCGGGGCGGCCGCGGACCGTCGGCATGGCCAGCGGCAGCGCTGATCGGCGGGGCGGCCGCGGACCGTCGACCCGACCCCAAGAGGGACGGACAGGGGACCGACCACGACGACGACGACGACGACGACGACGACGACGACGACGAAGGCGACGACGAGCGAAAGCGAGAGCGAGAGAGAACGACAGCAGAGCCACGAAGGGCACGAAGTAGGCCGCGAAGGGCGACAGCGGGGACACGAAGGGAATGCGTATGGGGCCACGAAGAGCGCGAACGAGCGGGGGCCACGAAGCGCAGATAATGCGGGGCCACAGAAGGCAACTATGGGGCCACTGAGGGTAGCAACTGGGCCACGTGGGACAGTGAGGGGGACAAAAATTGCAACAGCGGGGCCACGAAGGGCATGCACATGGGGCCACAACGGGCGCGACTCCTGGGTGCCTGGGTGTCGGGAGCGCGGCGCTTGGGCAAATTGCAAGAAATTCCAACGCAAGGCCAGTCTTCAATAAGTTGCAAGCAAGTCTCCAGCGAGAGCGCGACTCCAGAGCGCCGGGAGAGCGATTCCTGAATAAACTGTAAGGATGTCCCAAGTGAAAGCGCGATTCCTGAATCCGCCGGCCCCCTTGTGGGGCCACCAGGCTGCGAGGCGCGTGATTCGCAGTTTCCTGTACCAGTTGTAGTTTGTAGTTTCCAGTGTTACAGTTCTGCTTCTTGCTGGTTACTGTAACTAGTTGACTGATTGCTGGTTACTGTAACTAGTTGATTGACCGCGCGAGGGGGGGGGAGGCCCAAACAGGATTTTTAGCCTCACCTGGGCGCGTTGTCTGAATTGCTGGGGGAGCTCGAAATCCACACCCCTCACGCAGATCCGCGGGGTCAGGGTCCAAAAACACATGGGATTTGCCACATTTCTGAAATTCGGTGCCACCCCTCACGCAGATCCGCGGGGTCAGGGTCCAAAAACACATGGGATTTGCCACATTTCTGAAATTCGGTGCCACCCCTCACGCAGATCCGCGGGGTCAGGGTCCAAAAACACATGGGATTTGCCACATTTCTGAAATTCGGTGCCACCCCTCACGCAGATCCGCGGGGTCAGGGTCCAAAAACACATGGGATTTGCCACATTTCTGAAATTCGGTGCCACCCCTCACGCAGATCCGCGGGGTCAGGGTCCAAAAACACAGGGATTTGCCACATTTCTGAAATTCGGTGCCACCCCTCACGCAGATCCGCGGGGTCAGGGTCCAAAAACACATGGGATTTGCCACATTTCTGAAATTCGGTGCCACCCCTCACGCAGATCCGCGGGGTCAGGGTCCAAAAACACATGGGATTTGCCACATTTCTGAAATTCGGTGCCACCCCTCACGCAGATCCGCGGGGTCAGGGTCCAAAAACACAGGGGATTTGCCACATTTCTGAAATTCGGTGCCACCCCTTACGCAGATCCGCGGGGTCAGGGTCCAAAAACACAGGGATTTGCACATTTCTGAAATTCGGTGCCACCCTTCACGCACATCCATCGCAAGGCGTGGTAACCCAAACTGCGAGAACTCCCTCGGCCCTTTAATCGCAAGGTGTGGTAACCAAGCCCGTAAACCATACACGTCTTACCAATCGCCAGGTGTGATAACCCCTCTTGTGATCAGTTGGTTTTGCTGATTGCGAATCGGCTTCGCATGAAGTTTCGATACTGCTTCACGACAGCGCCAAGACCTCATGACTTAGCTTTTCCATGGCCCATTCTCCGAGGGAGGGGGCCGGCGGCAGGGGGCGAAGCCCTTACGGATAAAATGCGAGGAAGTCTCGGGCGGGAGTGGGGGTCCTGGCTAAATTGTACGGAAGTCTCAAGCGGAAGCCGTTGTTGTTGTATCCTGGGGGCCAGGCGGCCAGTTTGATCAGGAAGACTTTCCCTGTGAAAAAAACAGGGAGCGAGCGTCGAGGAACACACTTTGATTGAGAAAAACACTATGCACTGGTGGGGGGATCAACAATAATTATTCTTCCGAAGTGAGAATTCAACAACAACAACAACAACAACAATCATTTAAGACTGGGGACACTCCGTTCTCACCAGTGCCAGGGTTTTCATAGGAGGCGGGCAATACCCCCACTTTGTGGGGGGGCCGGTTCAAGCTCTACCAAATTTCCAAACGACTCTTCGCCACCACCCACACCCAGCTTCCCGCCCTATGACGTTCGGACACTTCACTTCGTGGCATGCGGACGACCGTGGCTACTATTCAGGGCCCCGCGGCCGACGACGACGGCGTGCGCGCGCGAAGAAAAAACGAATGTGTCCCGCATGGTATTATTTGACAGGGATGATGGCCCTGGCAGGTGCGCAACCGTTGTTGCAGAAG